AAAAAAAAAAAAAAAAAAAAAACTCTTATTTTAATACTTTAAATCTATTTTTTTCTACCAATTCGAGTTACATATTTGTCCTTGACTTTCTTCTAGAGGACAGCCTCATTCACTCACTGTAAGAAGATGGTGTCTTTCCTTAGAATACAGCTGCAGAGGCTAAGTACATCTTTCTAGAATGCTAGAGACTATTAATTATGGATATATTTAGAAGAAATATATAATATCCTATTTAAAACAAGAGTGCAATTCATCAGATGCTGTTATTTACTGTGAGGTCCTAACTTTAACAAATAATGAATGGTGGCAGAACTTCTTGTCAATGAAAAATCCTGAATTCATAAACCATCTATTTCCTTGAGATTTTGAGTTAGCTATATTCTTATATTTAAAGTATTTTTTCCAATAATAATGATCCTTAATACTGTTTTTGAAATAACGATTTGAAACTGAAAAGACAAAAACAACCCTGTTCTGTAGCTTTTACTAAAAGGTGGTGTCATAAATGCAGCCAGGTGGTGAATGGGTCTATTGAGTTTGTGGCACAAAGGGTGAACTTTGTGGAAATAGGTACTGTTTAAAATCTATCAAAGATAATATTTGTGGGTCTCCTTATTTTTGAGTAATAACCTTAACAAAAGTAAATATAAAACGAACTCTGTGTACGTTTGGAAAATGAGCTGAGTAAAATGGTGGCTATTGACATCGGAAGTTTTTTGCAAACAAAATTTACTCTTTTGAACGGTCATTTCGGAATTTGTTACCCATCAGTTCCAGTTACGAAGGATAAAACTATGTTTAGATTAATCATTCTACTAAAAACGCAGCATACTAAAGTAAAAAAACAAAAACACACACACAAAAACTACTTTCTATATAGCACTGCTTTACACTCTACCCATATGGCTGGAGTTGACAAGTCCAGTTTAGTCAAGTCAAGTCATTTTAGTCATGTATTATGTTTGATATTTCTTTATCACATTGAAAATTCGTATGTCTCTAGAGCAAGAGTGAGCAAACTGCAGCCAGTGAGCCAAATCCAGCTTGAGGCTTATTTTGTTAATCATATTTTGGAATATAGCCACACCCATTCATTTACATATAACCTATATATGGCTGTTTTGGTACAACAAGGAAAGAGTTGAGTTTACAACAGAGACTTCATGTCCTGCAAAGCCTAAAATATTTACTATATGCAAACAGAAAAAGTTTGGCAACCTTTTATAACCTGCTCTATAACATTTGACTACACTTGGAGAAATATAAACAGAATCTTTAGTCAACCTAAAAAACCTCTCCACCAAGGCAGAAGAGAAAGAAAACACATTCATTATTGAATAAGCAGTAAACCAGAATGTAATGTGTATCATAGGCAATCCGCTGACATTACAAAGACCCTATTACACAGCCTAGCAGTGTCCTCAAGGTAGATAGTAACTAGTTCTGAAGAGGACTTAAGAGCACCCTTTGTCACACATAGTTCATCTTAAATTCACATAGTTCATCCTAAATTCACTTGGTAATTGGTGGTGACCATCTTGTTACTTAATTGGCCTTATTCAAAGAAAAAAATAACCTCCTTATATCTTTATGACTGGAAGCAATTTTGCCACTTGAAGCAAAATTCAAGAGGCCTCTGAAGTTAGGCTTCTACCTTTCACAGAAACTGAGAAAAAGGGGCACTATCTTTCTGTATATTTACCTTTCAAAGAGAGACATTCCTGAATCTTTAAGCTGTAGGAGACTATTTAGCTTTTAAATAAATTGATATGCATTTCAAAGAGAAAAAGTGCTTACAGTTACTAGGTTTCCAAAAGTAAATGCTCTAAGAAAAGGGAGAAGAGAGTGGGGTTGAGGGAGGGAGAGCCTCTTCCCATATTTTCAACAGAAAAAAATAAGCCTCTTATTTTAATTCGTATTCATCCTTCCACTACACATACTCATATACATACACACCTATACAAAGATAAGGGGAAAATACAGCAGTAGCAGGAAGCCTTGGCGATAACAAAAATCTTAGGCACATTCTTGGAAGTGGGATGAAGGACTTTCGAAATTTGTGTTTAATGACTGAAAGTGAAGCTAAGCGATAGGTTTTATCCCCCAAATCTTTCTACAATTAAAAGTTGGAACTAACTCAGCTATACATGTCTAAGTTAATATCCGTCATTCATGTCTTCAAGTATATGTGAGTAAATACACTGTGGATACTGTCTGATTTTTAGACAGGCACAACCGCAAGCCCCTTTGAAATACACATATGCCTGCTGTCACTTTCAGCTCTGACTATATGCTTTTCTGCTATTCAGAATGCCTTTTCGTCTTCTGCACTAGTCTTTGCGATTACAAAGCAGCTAGAACTCTCTAATCCACTTAATTTTCATGGCTAGAAAATGCAGTGGTGCTGAATGGACACAAGAAATTAACTTGACTTCGAAAGATTTTCTCCTCTAAAGTGGTTATGTAATGCAGGCTGACTTTATAAGCTTTATGGGTTATACACGTGCATGGGACATTTTCAATAGCCTTTATGTCCCAAACACTATGAACTATTGCCACAATCATGGTTGCCAAATAAAAAAAACACTCGTCCATTTGTACTGTGTGAGGTGACATGATGTTGAAAGAAACACACGGGCCATGGAGGCAGATGGTCCTGTAGGTAGATGGTCCTGTAGGTAGGTAGGTAGATAGGTAGGTAGATGGATAAATGGATAGATGCATAGATGGACAGTTAGATAGGTAGGTATTGCTCAGCCACTATTAAAGATACAATATAGCCTTAGGTATGCTGTTTAACCTTCTTGAGGTCTTTCTTCTTCTTTCCTAAAATATGAATAATAATCCCACAGGTATGTTTTGTATTTGTTCATGTAAAGAACATTCACTAGAGCTATTAATATTATTGTAATGTTAAAATTATTACCATTATTCTTACGGCAGACATTATAATTATTAAACAATAAATGTTTCTCTCAAGATATTTATTATTATGCAATAACTTAATAGTTTGTAAATATCTTCATGGTGGCAATATTAACTGTTTTTCCTCTTGTGTTCCTCATGTAGTTGCAAAGTTAAACATGTAAAGAGCCCAATTTCAGTGTTCTATGTTTTTGTTATATTTAAGTGATGGAAAGAGTTCATCAAAAGAAAAGTCATGTATTTTCTGAAGAGACAGTCTGTTATTTTGAGTTCCCTTAGATTTATGAGGGATTAATCACTACATCATATTACTTCCAAAGTTCCTCCCATGTGACATCTGATGTCATTCTCAACTGTTAATTTAAAAAATACAACTATAGGCAGCTGTAGATTTTTTTGAAGTAAAACAAAGCTCATTTGTGATTTCATGTAGGTTTAAAAAATTTCAGTTATATATGCCATTGTATGTATCGATTTTTTATTCCATGTAACCTTTGCTTATTTTTTCTAGATTTATCCAGGGTCAATAGAGTTAATGCAGGTGATTGAAGATTTTATACACATTGTTGGAATGGGGATGATGGACTTTCAGAATTCATACTTAATGACTGGAAATGTAGGTAAGAAATAGGATTTTCCCCAAAAAACTTTCTGAAATAAAAAAATTTGCAAGTATCTGCACCATACGTTTCCAAGTATAATATTCATTATTCATATGTTTAAGTACATGTGAGCAAATATATTTCGAATACTTGGTGTCTGACGTTTAGATAGGCCTAAACACATTGCATTATATATATATATATACACACACACATATATATACACACACACACATATATTTGTATTTATCTTCATGCATTTGTATGACTGCTTGTAGGCCTAGTTGTGTGTGTCTTCACGTGTATATGTAGGATAATATGTATTTATTTTTTCATTCTGCCAAATGCTTATTGCTATCCAATCTAGTTATGAATGTGTATGTGTGTGTATACACACTAGTTATTTTGAAAACAACATGTTACTCTTTATGCTCTTCCATACATTGTTCTTGAGGATGCCGAGTTACTTTCGCACTGGTTGTCCCAGGCAGGTGCTGAATCTGTGTGTGGTGGAACATTGAGAATACCTTCCAGGGTTAAGATGATGGTGCAACTGCTGCCACTGCAGTTTTTCTGAATATCTTCCAGTACACAGTGGATCTCTCAAGTCCCTCTGTAGTGGACTCTGTAATGCAACAACCATTATATTAACCAAATGACACATTTCTCTTTGTGGTTAAAAATTAACAAGAGCCAAGAAATAGTCTTCTTAATGATACACATTGAATTGACATAGGCTTACAGTTTTCTCATTTCTTTAAAGCTTCTTCTGATAATGTTACTGTGATTCAGAATTATTTTCTTTCATTTGTCATACTTTAATACTCTTAACATAAAAACCACTGAACTATAGATAGTAATGTGTTTAAATAAACATATGTTGCCCTATATTCATATTCACAGATAATTATGCTTTAGTTTCTGGATTAGGAAGAGACTAACTTTGGTGGGGCAATTAACTAGGGAAGTTCAACTGGTAGAGAACATATTTTTTTTTTTTATGATTAAGGCTTTTGGTGGTTCATTTTATACTTAATTTCTTCTGAAGGTACCTAAGTCCTGCAGGGACTCATTTTATCCTGGGATATCTTCACCAGGATGACCTCAGATTACAATAGGTTACAGTTAACTACTGATAATATTCTTCATTTGAGGAAAGTCTGTGTAATGGATACTTCAAAGGTCTGGAGACGTTTTGGAGCCCATGTATCCTCTTCATCCAGCACAGGCCTTATCAGTGAGTTTAACATCTTAATGTATCTTCTGAGCCTGTTGGAGGGCCTACACTTTTCTCCAGAGTGGGTGTCCAGCAGCTTGTGCCAGTTCAGTAATGGAGGAAGCTATTTCTTCTTATGGACAATTAGAGTAAAAAGAGACCAAAGGTGGTATCTTTGTTGAAAGATGAATTCAGAAATCAGAGAAATTCCCAATTCAATGTCCATTATAAAAGTCACTGGGCAGATAAAGGAAAGAAAGTTTGTTGGAAAGGTATATCATGTCTGTGGAAAAGGTTTAGCAATCACAGCTATGAGTTTTAAGGCACATGGAAGGAACCTAGCAAGATTCCAGGGATGCTAGTCACCCAAGTCAGAACCACTTTCCCAAGGGAAGGAAATGAGTTATGAAGGGTCTTGGGGCAGATTGGACAATTGGTAAAGTAGTTTATGAGTTAAAATGAGATAGAAAAACAAAGAACTATTGTTTTCTGCTTCTTTTTGTAAATGTTAATGTCTACTTCTAAAAGGTATTGCTAATTAAAAGGATGTTCAGATCAATACATGGCATTTGTGCAGAATGTGTTTAGAAAAAAAAAAAAAAAACTATAAAAAAGCCAATCACAGAGTCTAGCAAACTTAAATTGGATTTAAACTTAAATTTGGATTTATGTTTCAGAATCACAGCATATCACATTCTCTATAGCACTAGTATTACTTGGTATAAAAATTTCACAAATGTCCATAAATTGCAATCATTTATTCATCTTTACTTTTCTTTGACTTACCAAGTTTGTATATTTGAAAACATTGTGTATTTTTTTCACAATAAGATTATGTTATCTAGGTTTGCCTTCTTCCCTTAAATGTGATTAAACTTTAAGAGGTATATTAAGCATAACTCAAAGCAATCGAATGCTGCAAATAAAGTCAATATCGTCCTATATCGTTGTCCATCTTGCCTGAGGATAGTGTGATTGTTCTGCCTTCTGATTGTTTATATAGCAACACTTATCCATATTAAAAGTTATGTTCTGTGAGTAAAAATTATAAACATTGTTTATACGGACTACCCAAAAGACATCTTATTTATTGTTGATTTCCTCAAATGTTAGCTCAGGGACTGACTGACACTGTAGTTTGGTGACTAGAACTGAGGGTTATGCTCCATAGTATTCAGGAGTTTTCCAAATTGCATACACTAGTATCAAATTAAGTAATATTAATAATGATCTCTTACTATTAATACTTTTTATGTTACCCAATTTGATACTATATATGTAAAACATTATAATGTTATGTCTCATATTTCCAATGTTTTTGAGCATGGACATGAATAGAGACTATTTTACAGTAGAAAGTTGTGAAACATGTGAGTTGGCCCTCATTCTGTCTTACATTCTAAGTCCAAAGATTAATTATCCAACAGTCTGCCCATTATACTGAGCAGACATGTATGCAGGAACACAGGCATGTACACAGCATGTGAGAAATGAATAGAGACTAAGTAACTAAGAAAGTTTGTTCCTTATGGCCATTTTCTATAGAATGTGTTGGATTAAGATTACTTAAAGAACTTCAAAAATCATAATGTATTTTGGAGAGATTATAAATTATTTTTTCATAAAGTCTATATGTATAGCTACTTTTCTGGACTATAGATATATAGTCACTTTTCTGGACTATAGATAGTAAACTCCTGAAGGAAGAAAGAGTTGAACAGTCCAATATAAATGCCAAAAAAACCATGCAATTTAATAAAAGACTCTCAGAACCAATAGATTATTTTATTTCAACTTTAAATATAGTGTTAGCATTTCTGTTTTCTAGTTACTGGATTAAATAGAATGAGTTTGAAGCAGAAGCAGTGCTATTAGAGGCACATATATAGCAAATAGAATAGATGAAGTGCTGGAACAATAATAACAAAGAAATACTTTTTCCTTATTGTCATTTCCTATAGAAATGACAACTCATGTCTCACGTTTGAGAGCATTAGTTCTAAGACTTAGGACAATAATTCATATTTAAAAGCATGGCCTTAATTCATCAAGATAAAAGTTCCTAGAATCTGATTAAAATCTCAGAAAAAGGAGTGACATATTTTAGAAAGACTTTCTTCAAAAATAGTTCAAATGAAAAAGTTTGAAGCTTCTTTTTTTCTGAAAAATGTCCCCATCTGTATCAGCTTTTGATAAGTGAAGTGCTCTTATATGATAAAAAAATTCTATGAACATTTTGATATATATGCGTGCATGTACATTTTTGTAGGGAGAATGTTCATAGCTTTGATCTGTTTCTTAAAAGATTTATGATCTCAAAATGTTTAACAGAGGTTTGGAAGAAAATAATCTACAAATAAGGATTTCAAACCAATGAATTTATAAAATAATCAAGCTTCAATAGAATATTTAGTTTTCATTTTTAAATACATATATGACATTTAAAATAGACACATGAAAGTTGTAACACATGAGTTAATGAACATTTATTAAAGACTAAACGCTCTACTAGTTTATATAATTACTGTATAAATGAATGAATGAATGTCTATGAAAGATTTCAATTTTCAATATGCCTCTTTTTAAAAAAATTATATTTGAAATGTTTTAACTGTCTGCATAGGTAAGTGGTTTTTGTTTTAGGAAAAGCATGTGACTTTTTCAATATATCAATAATTTAAAAAATGTATAAGTATCAATTAGGTCTGGAGGGCCATATCTTTATATTATTTAATATGAAACATTTTTAAAAGGTTATTTTTTCAACAAGACAAAAAGTTATTTTTCAGTGAAAATATTATTTGAAGATTTACTTCAACTTGCTTTCTATACGTTTCCTCTAAACATTTTTCCTTAAGTACCTTGCAGTCCTATTTCTCTTATTATTTTTCTGAAACTCCTATTTGAAAGGAAACTCTAATTGCCGAATAAATCTCCTCTCATTTTTCATCCTTCACATCCTCTGTGCTTTGCTAACCACTCTCTTTCTTGATACTGTTCATTCCTTTAACATTTTTACATTAAATACAGTATAAAATATACTCAAATGATAAATTTAAACTCATGGCTTCAAAGTATTTGGATTTCTTTTGAGATAGTAGCATAAAACAAATAACGTGAAGCCCTGAAAAGGATAAAAGTACATTATTTTGAGGTCTAGCTGTTTGCAGTTCCAAATACAAAATAGAGTGTATGAGATCTGACATGATTAGAATGACAAGGCAAGGGAATGGGACTATATTGTTCTAACGATTTGTCCAAAGTTACAGTGATGATTTATAGTTTTTGTTACATTTTCAGTTTTTTAAATATTTTTCACAATAGCTTCATGTAGCATGTTACATTTCCTTTTATTGATAAGAATATCCTATTCTTTAGAAATTGTGTTAGTTTAGAACCTAGAACTAGAATTGCATTCATTGAACTGAATTCAAGGAAGATCAGTGATGTGTCAATGTTACTCACCCATTGACTACGTTCAAGTACAGACAAAAAGAATTTTTCTCTTACTATAAGCAAAGCCTTTGCTAAGTGATTCAGGTCATTAAAATAAATGACTAATCTTCTAGCCTGCAAGTAAATTGCAGTCTAGTTGTAGACAGTAAAGAATTACATCAATAAATAAACATCAAATACACTTTGATATGTGTCATATAAGCCAAATGTTAGTACTTTATTTCCGGAGATGTTGTTCTGTGTAAGGATCAAGAAAAACTTCTTAGAGAAGGAAGCATTTAATGTAGACTTTGAAGAATGACTGAATTGTTGATAAGTCAACATAAAGAAGAGCAGGTAGCAAATA